TCTTGTAATGACCCTGTGTTTGTGATTAATGATCCCAGATATAAGTATGAGCTCACAACCTCGAACCGGTCAATTGTGGTTATGTGTGGATGATTGTTGTGTAGTCTATCCACTATCATGATCTTTGTCTTGGATATGTTTAATTGCAGACCAAATATTTGACTTTCGTTTTCGATCAGCCGTATAAGTTCTATCAGCTCTGCTTGACTATTTGCAAGAAGAGCTGTGTCATCTGCGAAACGTAGGTTGTTTAGTTTATGACAATTTATTGAGATGCCCTTTTCCCATCCTTCAAGTGCTCTTCGCATAATATACTCCCCATATATGTTGAATAATTGTGGAGATAGTATACATCCTTGTCTGACACCCCGTTCTGGATGAAACTCGTTCGAAAGTGTGTCAAGTACTTTAACTGATCCAGTAGTGTGTTCATATAGTTCAGTTATAAGCGTAATTAGATATTGTGGTACGCCTACTTCTTTTAGTATTCGCCATAAGTGTCTCCACTTGACCCTGTCGAACGCTTTACGGTAATCTATAAAATAGATGTATAGTGGGATGTTGAATTCCCTAGATTTCTCGATTATCTGTCTTATATTCAGCAGGTGTTCTCGAGTGCCTCTACCTTTGGTAAATCCAGTTTGCTATTGTGGAATTTCTCTTTGAAGGAATGTTTTCAGTCTCTCATTGATTATATGTAGCATTATCTTGCTGGCATGGGATATAAGAGAGATAGTTCTATAATTGTCGCATTTATGGAAGCTGCCTTTTTTATGTATGGTCGTTATTGTAGATTTTGTCCAGTCTTCAGGCCATTGTTTGGAATGCCATATTTGGCTACAGATTAGATGAAGTAACTTTACGCCGGTTTCTTCTGTGGCTTTAAGCATTTCTGCTGTTATCATATCTGGACCTGGTGCTTTGTTATATTTGAGCTTGTTGATAGCCTGTCTTACTTCATTTTCGAGTATATCAGGTTCTTCTTCCACCTCGTCAGAGATTTGGCTAACAAGCTCTCGGCATTGATCATCTTTATATAGGTCTATAGATATATAGATAAGGTATATAGATAATAAGTATTCACTTCAAAATGGAGTTGCAAAACAAAATGTTAATTATACGTTACGTTCTGTAAAAATATTGCTGGATTATTTTAAAAAGCAGTCGAAAAGGTAGGAAATAAGTACTTGGAAAATGAACGTCTTCTTCCGCTGCTGGAATGTCCACTGCTACACCTAGGTCTCCCTTAGCTCTTTCCATCTGTCTCTGTCTTGTGCGGCTTGTATCTAATTATTGCTAGCACGCTTCAGGTCATCAGTTAATCTAGTTGATGGGCGTCAGCGACGCGATTTTTTTGATAGCGTATGTTGTTTTTGTTCTACAACCTATTCCTTCTCGGCGCTCACCCCAAATTCAAACGAAAAGTGCATAAGTTGACAAATCTGAAGATTCTAACGTAAAAAACATTCAAAAGTAGTAACTGGTATTTTATCTACAGAAGTTTATGAATATTTATTTTCTTATAAAGTAAGTTCATTTATTTTCTTATAAAGTAAATAATTTCGAGGCCGCGTTTTTAGTATATAAAAGAAAAGAACTCTTAATTTTTACATAAAATATGCTCAACATACAGTTGAACAAAATTAGCATAAACTATACTAATATTAATAACCAAAAAAATTACGCGTGTTGGAAACACTTTCGAACTTTTGAGTCAAATTCACCCCAACGGTCAACTATACCTCATTTTACGATTAGTTCGATTTTCCATGTCTTAGATTTTTCAGCCATGATGTTCTTCTACCACGACCACGTTTACCTTGGATCTTTTCCTGAATGATCAGATGGAAAAGTTAAAATTACTAAAGAGTTAAGGGTTAAGAGTTACGGGTTAAGTAAGCTAATTTAAACGATTGCTGCGAGACGACAGTGGATCTGATTATGAAAGTGAACATAAGATTATGTTGTGATGTACTTATAATTATTTCCTTTATCTACTATTCATAAGTGATTTTAGTAATAATACTATAAAGAATAACGGTTTTAAAGTTAAATAGTCCAGTAGTCAGAGAGTTGACCCTTAAAAATCATATGAACAAGCTGAATTTTGCAGAGAATGTGAATTTTGGTACCCCAAAAAAGATGTAAGAAGATTTACCACTTTTACCCCCGCGTTTCCTCGTAAAACTCGCTCGAAGGGAGGTAAAACGCAAAAAAACATCGTAGAAGAAAATTATTTCAAATAAAAAATGTAGCAATATACTTAAGTGTAGCATAATTAATAAATGTAGCAAGATAATTTTAAGCAAAAATGTTTATAAGCATTTTTTGTGTAGAATGAGCCGTTCTCTTAGAAACAATGCTTGAAGCGACCGTCGACTTTACATGTCAGTTACGCTTTCGAAACCAATGTTCAATAAAATTTGTAACAGCTCGACGGTAAAAATTCGATATATTTTTATCCAAATGTACTATTGACAAAAATCGTTTGTTCGATACGTTTTAAAGGCAAAGAGTGCAGCTTCTGTATGCAGTTTTTGTATTTTGCCAAGAAAAAATAAAAAATAAATTACGTGGCACGATTTTTGCCATTTTTTACTATTCTCGTTAAACCAATAAAATTGATCACTTTCATTGACCAGTTGTAGTAAAATGCCATTTTTAGAGATCAATTTTTAAAACCTAAGACATGAAATTTCTATTTTGAGTTGTGGTAACAAATATGAGGCATTTGAAATATGAACAAAAACGCAGAATTGAATTTGTTACATTACAAACAATCTCACGTCACGGGAAATGCATTTAAAAAGACGGTTTGGGTGTAGTTTATTTCAAAAGTTTTGTACTTTTGAAAAAAGTACTAGTGTAATTAAAAAAAAAGTTTTAAATATTTTAGATCGTTTGTTGTGTCAAAGTTTAAATACTGCGTTTTTTAAGCATATTTCAAATGACTCAAATTTGTTGCCAAACTCAAAAACTAGAATTTCAAGCTATAGGTTTTAAAGGTTAGGTTCTAGTAAATGAAACCTGGTCATAGTGACCAGTCAAGAAAAGGGATATATTATATTAACCTGATGAGAATTATAAAAAATGGCAAAAATCGCGCCAACTTTATTTATTTATGTACAAAAGAAGTAGAGGAAGACCCCCTACACGATGGACTGACGATCTGAAAAATATGTCAAGAAATTTGATAAAAAGTGCCCAAAACAGAGCACAACGGACAAAAATTAGGGAGGCCTATGTGCAGCAGTGGACGCAAAGGGCTGGATGATGATAATATAAACACTAAATTTGATATACCCCGTCTATTTCTTCGTAAGAGCCACCTGCGGGCCCAAAGGCGGCTGATTTTTTTCTTCTTACTATTAGCTGTACGGAATTGTTGCCGGCGTATTATTGATAAAAGTTAGGAAGTCGATGCAAGCAAAGATTTATTTTCCGTTATCATTATCATTGGTGTTACAGCCCTATAAAAGAGTCTCGACCTTCCCAAGTCTATTACGCCAATCAGTTCTATACATTGCCAACTGTTGCCAGTTTGCTGCGCCTATTTTTCTACCATCCTCATCTACACCATCCCTCCATCTGAGTTTTGGCCTACCCCTACTCTACTTCCCATAGGTTGTGACACAAGGATTCTTCTAGGAGGGTTGTTCTGCGGTGATCTTGCCAGATGTCCTGCCCATCTTAGTCTTCCTATTTTTATAAGAGATACTACGTCTTTACCACCAAATATATATATATATATATATATATATATATATATATATATATATATCTGTGATTATCTAATAGTTGTACCTCCTTCTCCAAACACCATTTCACAGATGCCACCGAATATTCTTCTCAGGGTCCTTCGTTCAAATATAAGCAGGAGGTTTTCATCTGCCTTGGAAATGGTCCATATCTCCAATCCATATGTCAACACTGGTTGTATAAGAGTTTTTTATGTGGTTATTTTGTTTTTTTTTGGCTTAAGTTTCTGCTTCTCATATGTCTATTTAATCCAAAATAGCATTTGTTTGCTAGGATTATTCTTCGCTTGATTTCTTCAGTCATGGAGTTCTCCTTGGTGATCAGGGAGCTTAAGTATGTGAATGTGTCTTCAACTTCAAAGGTAGAGTTATCAACAGTGAATTGGTGGCCGATGTTTCTGGCTCTATTGTTGGGTGTTGATGCCATTATCTTAGTTTTCTCCTTATTTACTTGCATGCCCATATTTTTTTAGTCATTTGACAAGGTGGTATACATTTCTTCTAGTTTGCGTGTTGTGCGGGCAATTAGGACAACATCATCTGCATATGCCAAAATTTTAGATGATTTATTAAAAATGTTTCCTCTGTTGTCTATTTGGGCATCTCTGACCGCCTTTTCCAGAGCTATGTTGAAAAAGAAACACGCCAGCGCATCTCCCTGTCGCAGCCCAACATGCGTTTCAAACGCCTGTGATCGCCCTGTATTTCGACTTTGCATACAACTTTACGCATTGTAGCCTTAACCAATCTTATCAGTTTATCGGGGATGTGAAACTCGTCCGTGGCTTCATACAATTTATTTGTTAGGACACTATCATAGGCCGATTTAAAATCTACGAAAAGGTGGTATGTGTCGATATTGAATTCATTGGTTTTTTTCAGTATTTGTCTTGGTTTTCCATTATAATAGTTTAAAAATCTAATAGTTATTACCTATACTATGTCTAATATCTCTATGATCATAAACAAATCATAAGGCATAACTTATCATTTAGTGTAAACACGATTTTTTAAAACATAAAAACGAGGATTCATAACAAATCTCATATGAAATTGTCATATGATAAAATCATGTAGTGTAAAGTCGACTTAAGTAGTAAATATTAAGTTTGCTTTTGTCAGTACTCGTGTAGGATTGTACTACAGATTCTCATAATGTTGCATCCATTATAGATACGTTGAAGAAACAATACGATATTACAAATCACTGACATTGACATAACTCTTTTTTTAAATTTGTAGGTGTAAAAAAACTCTGATAGGAGATAGTATCGGAAATAATAATAGAAACGAAACTCCGTTTTATCAAGCTCCTGATAGTTTCCGTCCGCGTAACCAGCCAGCCCATAGACATTCAATGGAGGGCGGAAGGCAGTATGGTAAAAAGGAGAGGTGAGTATATTTCGCTTGTTACTTATTACGTAAGGTTTTTAAAAAAGTGTGTGACTTAGTAAGTTATTATATGGAAACAAATGATATTCTGCTCTTCGTGCTGTTGGCTATAGAAATCTTAGAAATAGCTACTACGAAGGAGCTTGCATATGTTCTTAGCTATTTGAAAAAGTAGATTGTCGATTATAGATTTCAAAGTGGTCGATTGTCCTCGTAAACCTTTCCCGACTATAACGCCAAAGATCTTTTGTGTGTACCCTATATCTATCTAGTAGATTTTCCATAAAGCGTATTACCAAATAAGTATCCCACCGTTGCAGATAATATTTATATTCAAACGTTTCCTCTGCATTTTCGCAGAATTTACATGTTGCGATGTCTGTTTTCCCATTTTACATATGTGAGTAGTGTTCAATGATTACTCATGAGTTTACTTTTCTAAAGCGCTAAGAGTATTTTTGCGTAACAAGCAGATGGTTATAACAACCTTTTCACTTGACTTTGGCCTAGAATCTTTTCCCAGTAGGTTGCATAAGTTTCTTTTCGGTTTAGTTTACCGAAAGTACAAGCTGATTTTAGCCGCAAATGTCAAACATAGAATCAAAAATTTCTGTTTAGCAGTGTTAGTTTGTTTTTATATTGTGTATGCTGTATGCTTCAAATATAACAAGATCAATCTTTAGAAAAGTACATTTTGTTTATAGTATGTTATGAATTCTGCAATGTTTGATTTAAATCAGCAGTTGCCAGATGTTTGCAATTAATCTCGAAAGAGACAAATATTTACTTGTTATTTTTTCATGTAAATTAAAAAATGCAGAATTCATAAAGTACTATAATCAAAACGTACTTTTTAAAAGCTTTCTCGCTTTATATTTGAAGCATACAACATATTATGCACTATCAAAACATCCCAACACTGCCAAATCCAAATATTTTATTTCATGGATGACATTTGCGACTATATTCAGCTTGTACTTTCGGTACACTCAACCTTCTTTTCTTCCCATTTTTGGATATTTTCCACGGTACGGGTTTTTTTAATACTGCACAATTGGTCTGGTCCGATTAAAGGAGTACTAGCTCTTTCTTTAGTAAGACTATCAGTTATCTCGTTACCGGCAGTTCCTTTATTCTCTGACAACAAAGTGACTGTGTTGTGCTTTGACAGTTGCTTCACGAACTGGTTTAAATTCTAAGCTGTTACAGATTCACAAGTTGTTCTCGTTATAGTACGTAAAGTATATTTCACGAATTTGCGACTATTTTGAGAATTAGGGATGAAAGCTTTGACTTAAACAGCCCGCTGTGCTGAGAAAGTTAATAGGAAATTCTCCCAATATTTGAAGCATTGTCGAAGACAAGCAAGAAGGTTTTAACTGACAATGTATTTTATATTGAAATCTTGAATATGTTGCCGGTGTGCGTACATTTAATTAGGTAAAAAAATAGAATAGTTAATTAATTCTACTACTACCGACCGGTTTCGCATACTATTTGCTATTCATCTTCAGGTCAATGGTACATGGTAAAATAAATGCTGAAAATATATTAAACCCACATTAGGGTGCTGTCTGTTGTAAAATATATAGCAATTATGCCAATATTAAATGTGTGCAATTTATTAAGTATGAATTCCAATTAATTAAATAAAAAAATTGCTGAAAAAATTATTAAGTGAAAATTTAAAATGAAATAATCTTACTTGCTTGTCTATACAAGGATTATTATTAAATGTTTGAGAAAACATAGTTTAAAACTCCGTTATGGTAATCTGTTGACAGGTGATCATCGGTTTTACTGCAACGATTTAACGAGTAACGGGAAATTTCTTGAAGGGAAGAGTGATATTAACCACTAGACTGTAAATGTAGGTATTGTGTAAATTGATTACTGTTTTCCACAAAAAGGTTTTTATTTATATAAAATACCGTTATTCCAGAGTTCCGGCGATTCCCTTTGACTAGACTAGAAGGTCAATCGGACGGGTTTTCATTTGACCTGCTTCTGGAACCTTCGAATCGTAGGAGATCGGTCAGGTATTACCTGGAATTTCTGCCGGCTGACAATCTAGAACATATCAGAATTAGAAAAAATATGTTCACAGTTTTTATGAGTCATAATATTTTTTTCGTAACAATACATATTGATTATACATATATATTACATTTATCATTTATTGTATTACATTTTATGCTAACTGATTTGTTTGAATTATTTCTATTCTACTTTTGTCATACTTTCCTTACCATCATTTGATTTCTTTTGTTATCATGTCTTTCTGTTGCTTACCTTTTTATCGATATTTTCACCGGTTTGTTTAAAACCGTTCGCTTCTTTAAATCCAGATCTTCTCTTCGTGTTGATTTGTTAATTTATGTTTGCATTGTCTTCTTTTTCGTTTCTTTTATCTTACAATGCCCAACAAAATGAACAAATCCAACTTTTCGCGCCATACACGGCATTCGCTAGTCTAGGTTTAAGGAGGCCTATGAAACGCATTCGAGTATCAAAACCACAAACCTTGATAATTATTCGTAGCCATCAAGCTCGTTTCAATTGAATTTATTGTCTTCTACTCACTCTCGATCATCACTGTCTTACATTGTCTTCTGCTACTCACTCTCGATCATCGCTGTCTTATTTCAATATTTCGATCAAATATCCATTACCTCTGGTTTTGTCAGTGCCACAAAGCACCCTAAGGTAACTAATCAAGTTGTTAAAATGTGTCTAGTGTTCTGGTTTCCACCATTTCTATAAATCTTCGTATCTTTTATGACTAAACGGCTCAAGAACTTTTTTTGTTGGTTAATCCACATAATTCTTGTGTACGCTGCCTGATTTCACCTCATTCAGAGCGACGAATATACGGTTCGCGAATCACAGCATCTCGTTTTTTCTTCGTTTGTTAACCAAACTCAAATTAATCTTGTTCCTTTCGACAATCGCTTCTTCAAATGGCAACATTTCTAATTTTGCTACACAACCACATTTAATGTCCTCGTCTATTTCTGTCCACATGGTTGATACATATCAAATATGTTTTCAGCAACTTTCATTGAATTCGTATCCCACTGGATACAGGCTTCACAGCCAATTTTATTTCAGTGATCTACCATTTTAGTAATCAGATCCTATAAACATACTTATAGGTTTATAAAGGATATTTCTAATGTGGTCATTTTCAACATGTCTAAACATATTAGTTCTGTCCCAACACGACCAAGCTCGTGAAGGATATTTCTAAGTTGTTGATTTTCCGAAAGTTAACAGGCCGATTTTCTGTTATTCCACGGTTTTTACAACCCATTCCTGTTTTTTTCTCCTTTCTTTTCGATACTCATTCGTTATGCTCATCCATCGTCGTTTTGTATGCTCCGACATATGTTGCATTCATGGGAGATTCTATTACTTCCCAACATATGATGCTGCTTCCTGAATCCGATTTTAAATCGACTATTTCTTATTACTGTTATGTAGTTTTCAAAAAACAAATTTTTATTTAGCTTCTTTTATCTGACGTTCGAGGTGTGTCGTTAATCAACGCTTTTTATACTGGTCCTAAAAGGACATCTAGTTTTTTACTTAATTTTCGATATTTTCGTTGTTGTTTCATTTCCGATATAAAGCAAACGCATCGACAAATCAAGTAAATAAGGAATTTTGCAACTATAAAGGGGTTCTCTGGAGATCGGATTTTCTAAACCTCTCCAAAAGTTTTTACTACGTACCGTTACTTAACCGTACTTCTTTTTATTTCGCTTAAAAAACTCCACAACTACTCAAATAACGACAATTATGTCTATTGTCTTCACCATTTAACATAAAAGTACACTCGTCGGAAAAACACGTACAATCGATGTTAATTGTTTTTATGATTTCACTAAATTCTTCACAAATTTGACGTCGATGATCAAGATCATCTTCGTTTAATTGATGAAGTAATCGTATTTTATAAGGATAAAATTTATATTATTTTATAATTCGATAAGCACTAGATGCTCATAGACCAGATGCACCAGGTAGTTGTCTGATAGACTGTCGATTATCCATTTGTCAATGACCCAATACCGCCACTTCAACTGCTGCAATTCAATGTCGAGAATACTTTGGTTTTTGATTAGTGAATGCACAAACAGTCGCAATATATCACCTAAATTAATAATGTATACAACTAAACAAATGAAGTACCTATAAAGGAAATACTACCCTGAAAATTGCTCGCTCGATCCGAGCTCTACTTATAAGTTTTAACGTATATATCAAACAGTTTAGCCGTAATAAATGAACTACAGATTGATTCATAGCATCAATTCTGACGTATAGCAAATAAAAAATATAAGTTCGGAAATATTGTCGCCAATGATTATCTATCTACCTGAAAAACTTGGCATTTGTACTTTAGTGAGGGTTTCTGTACCTAAATACAGATTTATTACCAATTTCATTTTCATGGGAAACAACTTTTCACACCTTTTATTTATAACAGTAGATTGCTTATACTTACACTTACATTATTAAAATTTGTGGTGGTTCTAATCTCGATTTTCGAATCGTTTTAGCACGGTTTTTACTGGACCTTTTCTTGGAAGGCGTTACTTTAATTTTCGCTTGTGAAATTTTTCCTATTTTCAAAAATATTTATATTTCTAGAATAAAAAATCCTCCTAAGACTATATACTCGCATTAGAATTTGAAATATTTTTACGTAAAATAGACTTTTAAAACCCACAATTAATAATAATCTATTTTTTTTTTTCAAATAGTCCGACAACTCAGTTCTATTACCCAAATATAATAAATTAATTTTAAACAAACACTACTTCACTATGAATCAAAACTCGAATTTCAATATCTTGAAAATAATACACTACTGCATGCACAGATATCCATACAGATAACAGAGCAGAATCGTGCTATCACTTACACAGAAAACCGACGTAGAAGTGCAAATCTGATAGCGGTGACTATTTCTCTATGTTGGCAACTCACTCAGTTCAATAGTTAATTGATTTTGATTGATTTTAGTAATTCCAATGTGACACAAAATCTAGGCTTGGGATAAACAAGTTTATTTGAAGAAAGTGTATTTTTTTGTTTCTCTTAATGGCGGTAAAAACTCGTTTTTGTAATATTTTATTTAGTTATAGAGTAATTTCCACTTACTAACATATTTCTCAAATTGGGCTTCGTACCGCCATTCTTTACTATATCGCTTATATGTGTGCCAAATATCTCGTCAAAATATTTAAAATTAAAGCTGCAATCTTTGAACGCGTTTTCCGTCTTGATGACGCGCTGATGTAGCCTCTTAAACCTAGATACCTTAAATTGGTAACAAAGATAGCCAAGGTCAACGCACGTTTTTATTTGGACACTCTTCCGTTTGATGGCACGGTTAGTCTCGTTCCGGTGCTTTGTCCATTATCACTTTATGTCATGAAAGTCAAAGTCTTTCTTCCTTTGAGAAGAATACTACTCCATGTTAGTTGTTTTATTTTTTTCATAAATGGTCCAAAAAGGTACAATTTTAGACGATTTTTAATTATGGAATAAAACATATTACATGGAATAACAATGGAAACATAAAGAACTGAACAAAAAAGAAGATGTAATTCCAAGAAATTGTATAGATATGTTTGATAAAACAATTTTCATGTATGCTCTAGTCAGTTGAAAGAGGATAATCAAATCAAAGTTGGGGATATTTTTTTATTTACTTAATAGGAATTCACACTTAATAAATTGCACACATGACATAATTGTTATATAGTTTGTACCAGGCAGCAACTAAATACGGGTTATTATATTTTCGGCATTTAGTTTATCATGTAACATTGACCTGAAGATGCATGGCAAATAATAGTATGCGAAACCGGTCTTTGGTGGTAGAATAAATTGATTGTAAGTCTTATTCTTATTTCTTTTACCCGTTTTACATTCATTTAGAGAAATATACAAATATTATTGCAAAAATAGAAGGTATTCGCTATCGTCGGTATTTTCATTTTCACGCATTTAAAATTCTATTAAATTTTCACATTTTCCCAAATGGCATGAGTAGCAGTATTCAATGCTTCTTGACAGGTTTCCCAAACTGTTGGGTTTCCCAAACTACTCAAAATTTTCGAATGGTATGGGTGGCATTATCCAAAACTATAACAGATGATTCACGTAAACTTGGAAACAGTTTTTCTTTCAACGTGATTATCGTGATAATCAGCCGATTTTGATTTTGACGAAAACAACACCGCTCCATGTTTTCAATCCGCCTGGAATGTAATATGTCTCTTTTCCTCACTATCAGTGTTTTTTATGGATTTTATATTCTCATCCTGCCAAATCCGTTTTATTTCATCTTTAGTAAAAATCCATATTTCGTCTAATGAAACAAATGAATCGTGTTATTTTTTTAAATTATTAAAAAACTCCAGAAACCTACCCTGGAAATTTCGAATGTCTTGATCTTGAACGATCTTTTAATTTTCTGTCTTGTCTTCAATGTCGCTTTTGATTACATATCTATAAATATAGGTGAACAGTGTTGATACAATATTTGTATACCTGATGCTGAATCATCGATTGTGGACTTTCAGACCAATCACGATCGTTACTGTTAGGCCCAGTATCTCAAGAGTTAGGGTAAATCACCGTTGTAATTGAGTCGACGGATTTATTCATGTTTGATTGATTTGTTATTCGGCCTTCGGAGAATAATTCTATCTTCTTTTTTCCAAAGACTCGGAATATTTTCTGGAGACGATTAACCGGTCCGTAAAAATAATTAGGAAAGCAGTAATTCAACATTTAATTATACAGTGTGTTAAGTTTTGGATTAGGTATACACTCTATAAATGGCAGCACTGCGCGTCGTCGACTTGCACTACATATCTGCTTCGTTGACTCGTCGTTGCTCGTCGCCCGTCGGCAAATTTGTCATATTGTCATTATACCGTGGTTGTTTAAAGGAATAACAGTGTAGAGTTTTAATTTATTTTTGTAAACATGTCTGTTTATATGGCCGCGGAAAAAGCTCAAATAATAAAATGGTTTTATAGTGGCAATTCTGCGCAACAGTGTGTAGATTTATTTTCTGTGTTTTTTGAGAGAAGACCAATTTCTTGTGTACAGTCAATTTATAATATTGTTAAAAATTTTGAGAGTTGTTATTGCCTCAACAATTGCAGAAAATGTCACGCTCAAGAAGTGTTACCAGAAAAAGTTGAGGAAAGAGAATACCGGGATACACAAATTTGTGCAACAATCGAGGTAGATTCAACACGTTCAAGTAGAAGCGTTGCTAGAGAGTTAGATGTTAGCAATGTTACTGTAACGAAAGTATGGAAAAAGCACGGTTACAAGAATTTTAAATATTCGAAAACGCAGCAGCTTTATCCAGACGATTACTTTCGAAGAATGGAGTTTTGTGAAACTCTAATAACGAAGGCTAATAGTGAACCAAATTTTATTAAAAACATTTTATTCACTGATGAATCTTCTGTTTCGTTAGTAGGGAGACAATCCTTCCATTATGAGTTATTGGGCGCGGGAAAACCAGCACAGAAGTGTTGTTTACCGAACTCAACGTCCTCAAAAAGTTAACGTCTGGACTGGCATTTTAGGAGACCACATAATAGGTCCATTTTTTATTGAGGGCAACTTGAATAGTAGAGTATACCTCGATTTGTTACAGAATCATGTTCTTCCCGCTATTCTCAATCTTCCTGATGTAAATCTGGAGAATGTGTGGTTTCATCAAGACGGCTGTTCAGTTCACAACGCTCGAATTATTAGGGAGTATTTAAACAATACTTTCCCGAATCGAGTTATCAGTGGAACAGGCGATATTAAGTGGCCTGCGCGATCTCCAGATCTTACACCCATGGACTTCTTTTTTGGGGACATTTAAAAAGCATTATCTACGCTCATCCTGAGGCTAGAGCCCAAAATTTGGATGAATTAAAAAATCGAATAAGAGAAGTCTCCAATTCTGTTACAGCAGAAACTCTTTCATCTGTTCGCAGAAGTTTTTATGACAGATTGGGGTACTGTTCAGCCGTAGAAGGTCAACTATTTGAACCATTTCTGTAGGTCATAAAGAATTATTTTTGATTTTATTAGGAATAATATTTTAATTTTCAATAATAGTATATTTTTTATTTTATCTTTTTAAAGAAATACGCTTTTATTTTTAATTCAACTACAAAAAAAATTCACATTAATAAAAATCGATAACAATGCACCGATTAGGTCAGTGCATTTTTATCGAATTTCCTACTATTAAATTCGGCTATACGTAATGAAACATGAGATCGGACGACAGCGAAGTACATCCCAAACGTTGTTGTGAGTTACTAAACTAAAATAAATGATTTTCTGTCGGTGTAGATACTGAGATAGTCTCGGGTCGGAGAACGAACATTTGCAACGTTGCCGATTTTAGCGCTCCGTATAGTGTGCAATACCTAATCAAAAACTTAACGCACTGTATCTGTGGCTTATGGTGCGTTCGTAGATTCACGATTCACTGGCTTGTATAAATATTATCCGTGAAATCTTTTTTTTGAACTGCTGTTGTTTTTCACTGTCAAATGACTTTTTGCTTACATTTTTAGCTTTAATGATAACACTAACAGCGATGGTTATCAAGCTTCGGGCAGTGTCCGCTCGCATAACCAGTCAGCAGGTAGATATTCCATGGAAAGTGGTGGAAGACAAAATTTTAAAAATGAGAGGTAAGACAATATGAATTAATTTTATTTTAATTTACATTTAATTAGCCACATAAATAATATTCGGATGTTATTGTGTTGATTGTAATAACCATACCAATTTAGTAATAATATTAGTGTTACAAGGTATTTTATTTGAATGAAATGAAGTTCGTCGACTACTTGATGAAGAAAACTAGCTTGTCTAAAACAATTTTTAATTGAAGGTGATTACTTGGCAACATCGCACCTAAAGCGACAAAATCAAATTCCACTTATCGTTGCAGGGGCGTACCAAAATAATATTTTAATTATTTACTTAAACACAGTAAAATTTTATTGTTATTATAGAGAACCTAATAGGGTAGAGGTACCGGTTGCGGTCACTTTAAGCAAAACTTTGTATTAAATCTTTTGTCATATCAAAAATGAATTTAAGTTTCGGATGATTTACGGACTAAACTTTTATAATATATTTCTAATTTGATTTAAACCTGTGAACATCGGATACTATTATGGAAATTTAAAGTAAAAACCATTTAAAATCATTGAAGCTAATTTTACCAGCTCCGGCCACAAAAGTACCAGTAGGGGGCCATGTTGTGCACCAGCTGTGGCCATGATAAAAAAAGTAAAAATAAAATATAAAAAAGTATAAATATGAAGATAAGAAAAGTGTAAATAAAAGTAAATAAAAAGTAGATTAATAGTAATTTATTATTTGGACATGAGGTAATAAAAAAAAACAGATAAAATATATCATATAAACTAAAAACTATCCTTAATGTAAAAGAAATCGTAAGGTAGGTAACTTAGAAGACGAAGGTAATTACCACCACTTTTTTTTTCAAATTAGACATTTCGGGTACATCATATATTCCCCTAGAATTAATTTTCTTAGTTTCAGAAATTGGCTGAACAACGTCACACTTTTCGTATACAAGCTCGTCTTTTTATTCTGGCCACTTCCAGTGATTCAACGTTTTGACCATTGTTGAAACAGTATAATCGTTACTATCAATTTTGGTAATTACACCAGAATAGAATAAGTCATCGTACTTTACAATGACATAGTTATTATTTTTCAGTTTGTTTTCAAGTGCAATTTCTATTTTCTACTTTTTATTTTCTTTCGTTGTGTTTTCAAGTGCAATTTCTATCTTCTGTTTTTCATTTTCTTTCAGTGTGTTTTCAAGAGTAATTTCTGTTTTTTGTTTTTTATATATTTTTAGGTTCTTTTTCATTCCTTGTGCTACAACACGTTTCTGTCGATTTTCTGTTGATTTGATGTTGAAATGCTGGAAATGGAAATTCCATGACATCTTGGGTATTTGGTAAATGCGAATTGAATGAAAGAACAGGTAAACTTTCATTCAAATCGCATTTAATCTTGGTCCATACATCAAATAGCATTTCAGCTTCTTTAACACTAGTCTTCTGTCCTTGATTATATTGAAATTTAAATTCATCTAGAACTGTATTTTCTATCTTGGATTCTAAGTAGGACAGACATTCCTCCTTAAAATTAATACTGGATATTTTAGATATTTCAGACTTGTTTACTGATTGATCTACAGAACTAAACGAGATTTTGTTTTGATTCAGGCATTTACTGTAGTCTACATTTTCCGAATTAAATGGATAAAGGCCACACTTTCGAAATCCATAAATATTGCAGATTTAATGGATACTTTCGATAAAATCATGTGCTCAAATGATAAAATCATTCGGAACGTCTTGTTTTTGTATTTCTCTTCCGTCATTGTCCAATCTGTAGGTTCTTAATGTTTTCTTCCATTGGCACTTTAGAGGGAAAAATAGGGAAACGTCTAATGGTTGTAAGATGTGTGTGGTGTTCGGATATAAACACGCAACTATAATTCCATGATCGCGACAAAATCTACTTAATTGTAAACTTAAATGGAACGAATGTCCATCCAAAAAAACAATTACAGGAAGAACGTAGTTTTGTTTGATTAAAAATGGATAAAACACGTTCTGAAAATATTCAAAGAATGATTCTGCTGTCATCCATCCATTTTTTGACTTCCCAATCCCCCAATGAGGTGGTGCTGCTTTAAAATATGTAGATGGAATTCTTTCAAATTTCTACATTGTTAATGGGGGAGCATAATCGCCCTGCGCATTCACGGCAATGAGAGTGGTGATGTTTTCTTTGTCACTGTTCGATGAGGTGGCATATACATGTTTCTTATTCTGCAATTACCCAACTACTTGAAGGGTTAAGATAAAATGATGTTTCATCCATGTTCCAAATTCGTTTGGAATCTTCCAGTACTGCAACATCATCTCCAAGATCAACTAAAACATTTTAGAACCATTTTTAATTTTTTTCTGGTGTGATAGCTGCACGAGCTTTGCTGATGTTCTCGGATTGTTTGACTGAAAGTTCTGGGTGTCGCGTCATGAAACTATCAAACCATTTGCGACCGGGCTGATTGTTGGTGAAAGGATTCTTTCTTTTATTCTCATTCAATATTTTTTGAAGAGAATAGCACAGTCCTTTTTTGGTCACCGGGAAACCTCTTTCATACAAATGGTTTCATCCATAAGCATAATGTTTTTTCGAGATTATCTCCCAACACGCACGTTGGTCCTACTTTACCAGTTGTTTCCGGCCGACTACCATTCAATTTATATCTGAGGGTACTTCTGGGATATGAAATGTTTTGGAAGCGGTTTGAACAGGCATGCCAAGTCTAACTGCATCTAAAGCAATTTGTTAATGCTTCTGGTGGATAATTAAACAATTGGCGTTTTAATTCTTTTTGTTTTCTGGACTTCTCATTTATTTTAAATGCTGCCATTTTGTCACTGAAAAAAAACATTATATTGAAACTCATTTGTTTTCAATGGGTTTCTAATTATAGATAACCAAATAATGAAATTTTTCAACTTTTAATTAGTTTTATTAAATAGTTTATTAATAAAAGCAAAATCGAGTTGAAATTTCATGTCTTTAGTTAAAAATTATAGAAAACGTGCAATTTCAAATTTTTTTAAAATATTTTGTTGATATTGCGATTAATATGATTTTTATCCGTAAAAAATGTAAACGTTTCTATTGATTCTTCATATCAGTATGTCGAAATATCAGTAAAGACGGTTCAATTATTTCAAATATTAATTTATTACTAAAATTCACAAAGATGTGCTAATTCTGGCCACAGTGGCCGCAAATGAAAACATACCTACCCTGTTGAGGATACCGTGGCCGCAAATCAAAACATGCATACCCGGTTGAGGCCACAGTAATGGCCTAAGCTGGAGCTTAAAACGATTTCCAAGTACCGGTTCCGGTCACAGTAAATATTAAATAAAAGGTTGATTTTATTTGAAGTTATTCTATGAAATAATGAAACCTTTTAAAGACATTACAACTGATTATTTGGATATATCTTATACATACAGAGAATGAACAAAGGTAAGTTTACTACTAATAAGTAAACTTACATTTGTTCCTTAACAAATTTCTTAAGAAATCTATATAAGCTGCATACACACACTTTCATAATACGCCATATTTAAACCAGCTGCGTCACCTACTGTCAATTTTTATAATTGAAGGCAAAAGTATTTGAATTTCTCGTTTCGAGATGTCGTTTTACATTTGAGTAAAAGTGCCACTTAATAAATACAAAATAATAGACGAATGGCCGCAACTGATGTATTGGCCGCAACCGGTACCTCTACCCTACAGTACTTCAAACAACAGAAACCTTTGCAAAATACTTACTTTTTCATTAGACTAAACAATCTGAAATTGTAATATACGATCTCATTATTACACTTCATTCTCTATTTATAGAATTACTGTGTGCTGTAAACGGTATATTTGTTTTTTAAGTTGATTTGAAAGTTTCCTTGTGTTTATTTGTTTTATCTTCTTCTTTAAGTTCCATCTTCTATCGAAGGTTGGAAATCATCATGGCTATGCAGATTTGTTTTATATTCCGTATAAATTGAAATAAAGTGAGCTAACCTATTATCATGTAAATGCGTGTATATAGTAGTGCATTTTTCAATAAATTCTCGAAATATGAAGCTAAGATGGCACTAACTACTATTAAGTTAATAAGAGTTATAGTTTTGTTTGAAGAAGACATATTGTGAAAATGCTGATTCACTTAATATGGTTTATTTGCCGTCGGAATCAGATGAAGTTTTCGATATAGAAGACATTGATGATAATATTATTTGTGAAAAGGAAAAAATCGGATATTGCAGGTACATATGGAATACAAGTGATTTTTCAGTTTTGACGATTCTGATTATATTCGGATAGTCCTCTGAACGTCCAAAGAAAGCAGATAAAACGTCCAAAGAAAAAACCTGACAAAAATAGTAAATCTAAATTTCTCTGAAGTTGGGTAACAACAGATACTCCGTACTCAGTAGTAAATCAATATCAGTCTTATTGATATTTAGACAATATAAACACCAACCATAAAGGCAAGTTTATATTGGAAGTTTTTTCACTTTTTTTTTGGTAAACAAGTAATTGGGAGCATTTTATATTTTACAAATATTTATGCATCGTAGAATAACCGCCAAAATTTTAAAATGAGTGGCAGATTTAAAAAATTTATTGGCATATGTATATTGTCTGGTTCACACTCTGCTTCAAGTTGATATGTATTGGTCGAAATGAGGATGAGAAGTACACATTATAAGAAAAACAGGAGCCGACATAGATTTCGTGTAATCAAACATGGAGAAAAGGGAATAGTGAAGAAACCGCTACCTCAGTGGCAAACTTAGTACATGGACGGTAATCTAAAGTTGCTTTACCAGATGAAACCAGATTCGACCATATTGGCCACATTACAAAAAGAGACGATAATGCAAGAATGTCGGATGTGTAAAAGTAATACTATTTATTTATGTAAAGGGTGTAGAGTGCATCTACACCCCGAATGTTTCGAAAATTTTCACCTTAAAATTTAATTTACATTTAAGATACGATATGTTCGTTTACGAAACGAAAGGGGTAACAGTCTTAT